GGTAAAAGATCTTGAATTTTGGCACGAAATTCATTTATCCATTTGGCTAAATAGCGTTTTGGCATTTTAGCTCATGTCAGTTCGTGATGAAAATCCTAAATCTAATTCCTAATCTTAACCATTAACTTTAAATCCTCACACTTCATTATAAATTTTATTTAGTCTTAGTTACTAGAGGGATTTCCTCAAGGTCACTTTAGCATTGCTCAAACGTCATCCATAAATGATAGTCTTACTAAATTTTCTTTCATAATTCAATTTGTTTCTCTTCTTTAAAAGTTATAAAAAACAAAATTATTTTTCTTAAAGAGTATCATAAGTTCATTACTAATAATCATTTTTGTCAACTATTAATGATTAGTTGAACAAGAATTCATAATTAGCAGAAATCTTATGTCTTTATTTTGGCAATCAATCAAATTCAAATATCAAAATTAAAGTGTTAATATTCTTTATTTTTATTTATTTTTATCAGAAGGGGTTTGTAGAGATTTCAGTATTTTCGCAGTTGAAAGCATGAGTCAATTGAAGCTAGACCACTATTGAAAACCTGGAAGCACTGGACGGCCATTTCGTCCTATCGCGGGACTCCTTAGCAGTGCGCATCCATGATCCCGCCCCGCGAGATTCGAACCCAGGACCTATCAGTCTCGCGCCAGAGCACTTAACCGATAGACCACTGAGCCGGCATCCGGTGGTGTTTCATGCTTTCAACTATGAAAATACTGAAATCTCCACAAAACCCATTCTGATAATTATAATAATATGCTCACCAGTTACTGACTTCAAGAGGTACTTCCTGGAGTTCTAGTGAGAAGCAGTGACCAGTGGAGTTCAACCATGTCTGTTGTGAGATAGGAACTCACTGAAGACAATGAGTGAACGGTTGCTCAACTTCGTGGATTGGTTAGTGTTAGACATTAACACCATGGGATGCCGGCTCAGTGGTCTGTCGTTTGAGTGCTCTGGCGAGAGACTGTTAAGTCCTAGGTTCGAGCCTCTCAAGGAAAGATCGTGGATGTGAACTGCTGGACGAAACGGTCGTCCAGTGCTTCCTGTTTTTATCTATTTATTTATTTTATTATCTTGGAAAGTGTTCTTTCATTTGTACCTTAAAAATTTTAATTAATCAAATTTGAAATATTACACGATCATGTTTCATTTACCCAAGGTGAATAACTATCTCCAATAGTCATGACTTTTCTCTAGAACTTCAGGAATTACATCTTAATACTCATCACTAGTGAGCAGTATAGTTTCGTGAAGATCGTAGAACTTTTTATAGCTGAAATCACAAACTAATCTTAGCTAGACTACGAATGAAAACTAAGATCATTTCTCGGTTTAAACTATGAAAATCTTACGATCTCCATAAAACTCTATACTAATAATAATTATATGCTCACTAGTGATCACGTTCAAGATGCAATTCATGGAGTTCTAGCCAAAAACTGTGACAAGTGGAGTTCAGTCATATCGGGTGTGAGTCAGCTATTCATTTTTGCCAATAGACGTTTTTCGAGCAGTATCATGAATTGATTGAATTGAGACATGTACATCGTTGAATGTCAGCCTAGTAGCCTAGAGTTTAAGCATTCACTCGTTTTGCAGAAGACTCTGCGTTCGATGCCAGTGGGATCGTTGCCTCGTATTTCTGAGGAGTTCTATACTTGAAAGAAAAAACCGTTCACTGTTCCCTGGCTCTGAATAGTGGTCTCGCTAGGATGGGTTCGCGATTAAAACTCTACAATTTCTATAAATCGTCCTACAATTATTAATAAATTCCTGTGAAACTAAACCTTGTTGATCGATATAATTGACTTTAAGGCTTACAACATCCAATATGATTCAAACAGTTAATAATATTATCATCACTACTAGGAATTCTTCAATCAAATTATGTTAATCATTGATTAGGACATGATGATCCAGTATGGTGAATTTCATAATACAATTACTGTATTTTAGTTTCAACTTTAGGAACACTGAACGGATGAAGATATGGCTAGTTCCTCTCCGGTTCATAGTTTGATGCTCATAATTATTGAGTTATGAGATGTGACTGTGTAATCCGTAATTTACTTTGATACTGACGCGTTCTGACGGAACTAATCATTTATCAAATTACAATTCGTCAATTTCACGCTCTTTCCAATTTGTTAGTATTGCTATTGACTTCTCTTTGATAAGTTTAACAACAAACCTTATCTCCATGTATTCAAGCATTTATTGTCATTTAGTATATCTTATATTGGTAATGTGAAGTGAAGTGATGAGGATTGATACATAAAAAGCAGTTATTATATTACTATTATTTTTGAAAACATGGTAATTATACTCTATCAACTATCTAGCATGAATATGTTATTCACTTTGAATTTGTTTACATGATAAATCGCATTTGTACAGCTTACTTATCAAATCATTTCATCCAACTTTATTCATCTGACAGGTTGACAGATTATGTAAAATCATGTACTTTAGTTATGTGTTGCGATAGGAAAATTTATAGTAAAAAACGAATGAGGATAGTAGAAAACATCATTTTGAATCCATCATTGATAGAGTAAAATGATTTAACAGTATAAATTTTATTTGACCAGACCCAGGAGTTGAAGACTTTTGAAATTCTATTTCCAAACGGTAGAAAGGTGTCAAAGACTTAAACTGAAAAAAAAATGATTTACCCGAAGTTTGTGTTGACGGTGTTGTTCAGAAGAACAATAGATACCTCACAATTATTCAGCCCAGTAAAGAAAACTCCGAAAAACTCATCTATTAGAAAGATTACTGTAATGATTGAATATAAACTCTTCAAAATCTCATGGTACTTATTAAGTGTGCCATCGTGTAAATCTGTCAATAAGCTGTTTTATCCAAGATACTAAACCTGAATTGTTATTTGACTGGTTTAAACTTTTTTGTTTTGATGATGCTTTACACTACGGGCTGACTTGAACTAGACAATTACTTACGATCAAGAAGCACTAGACAGCTGTCTCATGGTACGAGACTGAAGTTGCACTTGTACGCCACTAAATAGTCTAAATTTTAAGCGTTCACCAAGACGCCAAAAATCACTTAGTTCCATTCCTACCCTAATTATCTGTAACCATTGCTGAGGAGACTCACACTAGAATTAAAGTTGTTCAATGCTCTCGGGTTTCCAACAGTTGTTTCTAGTTTAAGTCGATTCGTGATACGAAACATCTCCAAACTGTTTTTACTAGTAATTATGATTTGGATTATTCCATTTGAAGCAATAGTCATTGGGTGTGAGTCCTAGTATGAACATCAACACTGGAATCCAGACACATCAAGCTGAGGAGTCACGAATAGGACGAAACGTGCGTTCTGGATCCCACTGTAACCCACAATACATACATCTTCACACACCCCTTATCTAAATTATTTATTTATTTTGGTAATTTAATATCATTTAACTAATTATATATTTGTTCATGAAACTCATATCTCTAACAGTCGAAAGTACACTAAAATATATCTTGTAAATAAAAAAAAGCAATTGTTTTTGGTGGTTTTCTTCTCTGAGCTGGATGCTTTAGTTGTGGAGCTTTCATCGTTCTCCTGATGATGTCGTTCAGAAGGACGATGAAAGCTCCACGACCAAACCATCCACCTCGGGGAACAAAACTCTACCAAAATCATCCACCTCAGCTACAAATCCCCACCACCTCAAAACGCAATTGTAATTATATTCATGCGTCAGGAATAGCAAACTAATTGTATATGTAACTGTTCTTCTCTGTCTTCTCATTTGCTTACCTGATCAAACTAAACTGCCAACATACTATTAATTAACTTACAGTATCAATCATGATAAAATTCGCGATCACGAAGTTTTGCCGAAAATATAACTGTTTGTCAAAGGATATCTAAACATGTAAACCTAACGATCAATTCAATTAGGCTCAACAGTTGTGAAATAATATAGAGAAGATAAACACCGATCTAGTTTTCTTATTGGTTGTTTGAATTTTCCGATTGATGTTTAGGACTGCAATTGATCAGTCTCTTGTCAGCCACAAATTTACAGTCAGTGACTGTGTGGTCCTACTTTTAAACAAATAAACACTGAACTGTGATATATGTTCTGTAAGATGAGTGGTATTTATCTCAAACCCACTCATTTAGTACAAATAATTTTACATTGCAACACTGTAAACTTTAAATGGACCCTCTACAGTTGGAGCTCATTAGCGCCACTAGATAACTGAGTTCACAAAGAATCAGTTGCCAGACAACTAGAACTGTGAAATGATGAATACCTCAAACATTTATTATTTATAGAACACACTATACTGATATTTATTAAGTGGTTGGTCAGCTTTAAGATTATCCTTTAATTTCATTCATATTCGGACGGCTCCCAGGAAGCGTGACGAAGTCTCCAAAGGCTCTAAAGGAGACGAAGAGATCCAATCTAATCAGAACCAGATAGAAAGTTCTAGCACATCAACGTGGCATGCTGTGATTGGACAATAATATAACTTCTTACTTGTGGATTGGCTGGTTTATAATGATGTTATGGTCTATACTACAAACTATAAACGACCTTGTCTTTCTGTACATTTTTGACACTTACTCCATGATCGCTCATCTTGCTTTCTTCCGTCTTTTGATTTGCGACTATGCGGGTTTCTCCGCGTTCGAGTGCCGATAGCCGTAATCAAGTAGAGGATATAACAATTCGTTTACTAAATACGGGTGCTTTACTCGGATTCAAATCTTACTGTTCCATGCCTGAGAAACAATATTACTACCTAGGTAGCCAGAACCGTAGTTGGTGGAAAGGGGTTCAAATCTTAGACCTCGGAGTAGAAATCCAAGTTCTTTGACGAGAAAAAGCCAATGTATCACAATTGGAAGACTAGCCACTCAGAGAAGTCTCACCGTCATGGTGGTAACGACAAAAACAAATAACTTTTGCGATTTCCCTGATTCATTAATCGTCCCTACAAAACAATATAACAACTTTTCATCATGAATCAGTATGCGCAAGTATATTTTATACAAAATAATAATAATAAAAGGTTCAAAAAATAATTCATCATTCAATTGATTTCGAATGGTTTGCATATGTCTCAGTGGAATCGACACTTGTTTCAAGAAGACGTTCACCTGTTGGTGTGAAAAGAAGAAGGAAAAAACAAACATTGATAATTTCTGGATTGCAATATTATAGGTGATTTACGAAGGTAATCCGATTAACAGTTCGTTTTAATCAATGACTAATGTCATCTTGAGTAATTTTGATAATCATAAAGCAGTGTGGGTAGCTGTTTTTTGTTAGCTTGATATTCATCAAAAATAAATGATCCTATATGAGATGAGACTTAGAATCCTAAAGTTCTAATCTTTTAGAGGTTATCTATAACTTCACACAGCCAAGTGTTATTTTTACATTTAAATTGGATAAGTGGAAGGAAAATAAAGCAAAAGATAAGAACTTACGAATTAATTCAGCAATAGCACGTTGAGTTCGACGTTCTAATTTACGCAATTTCTTTTCAACACCCCTTTTTAAATCCCAATCAGGTTTACGAGGTGCAAGACTTGATAGATTCTAAAGAAAATGAAATAAAAGTATAAATTTGCATTGGACGTTAAGAGAAATAAAAAGAGATTATAATTATTGACTTAGTAACTCCGTTTGATTTTTAAAAATTATCATTGATACCATCATTACTATTTTAACTCCACTCATATAGTTCTTGCGAGTTTTTATGCGCTAACAATAGCAAATGAAACCACTGCATATTTATGCCAGATCTTATGGTTGCTTATGAATGATGAGAATGAACTTTCAATCAATGTAGATTGCCTTCTAACCGCTTTGATTTAAACAATCAGTTAACGGCGTTGACTGTCGCACACTAGATATGAATTAAATTCTAACCTAGTTTGAAAAGCTAATAATTGATATCAGGTTTATACTCTAAAAGCTGTATAAATCACAGTTTCCATGTGAAAAATGTAAACAATAACTGATCGCTTAGGTAGAAATAACCACAACAAACTTCTAACTGGAATATAAATAAACAAATGTGGCAGAATGCTAAGTGAGTCATTACACTCTGCCGCTTATAGTACACAAATCAATTGTTAATCCTAACATCACGTTTTTGTTTATCTACAGTAGTGCTTGTTAGAAACCACAGCTATTTGAATACAATTTAACCAAAATCTTAAACTGGAAATCATCATGTGCTCACTACTTACTACACACAGAAGGAAATTACCGGAATTCTAGTGAGAAACCGTAACCAGTGAAGATAATCCGTGTCGTCAGTCAGCCACAACGTAGGACCAGGCACATATATGCATCAGTCCAAGTTGCCATACTTCATTAGTACAACAAGATGAACACCGGATTCATAGAAGTAATTAATTTAGTGGTGGTAGTATATCAAGAAAGGTTGTATATAAGGATATAGTATAGGAAGGAAGAACGTTATGAAGCAATTTTAATCTCAAGGTTTAAGGGAAGATAAAGAGTGTATACACCTACACCATTGTGATCGATTTTGAGCCATGTCACCTAGAGTCTCCAACCATTGATTAAGATAGTCACGCGGACCCCAACCAGGTAGTCCGCATCTACCAACATGGCTCAGACTAGAAGTTAGTCACTTCAAGCACTGATGCCACATTTTGGTTTGGCCGCCCCTAACTCTCTTCCAACCATCCTCTACACTAGTCAACATTGCGCGTCGTGGTAATCGGCGTTCAGGCATACGTAACACGTGGCCCAACCATCTCAGTCGATGAAGATTCATCACCTCATCAACTGATTTACCATCATTCCCTAATACCTTGTGTCTAAACTCACTATTACTTACTCGGTTATCCCAGCAGATGCGAGCAATATTTCTAAGACATCTGTGGTCAAATATTAGTAACCTACGAGTATCTTCTACTCTTAATGGCCATGTTTGACAGCCGTAAAGTAGAACAGAACGAACTGCTGCGCAGTATACTCGTCCCTTAATTGATAGACGGATGTGTCGTCTTCGCCATAGGTGACGTAAGTTGGCAAAAGCCAAACGAGCTTTTCGAAACCGTGCTGAGATTTCGTCATACACCAACCCATTAGGGCTGATCAGACTTCCAAGATAAGTGAAGTTGTCGACGCGTTCGACTACTTCACTCCCTATCCTTAGTTCAGGTGTCGACGCAGGCCAGTCCTGGAGTAACAATTTACATTTGGATGGGGAGAAACGCATCCTAAACATCCTGGCATTATTACTCAGTTCTAACAGAAGACTCTGCATTTTGTCGGCGTCTTCACCAAATAGGACTATGTCATCTGTGTATTCTAAGTCGATAAGTGAACCTCCTGATAGAAGATCAATTCCTGAAAATTCAGTCGACGAGCGTGTTATTTCCAGCAACAGGTCTATAATGAAGTTAAACAAAAATGGGGATAGTGGACAGCCTTGACTGACACCACTTGAGGTTGTAAAATCATATGACAGTTCGCCATAAGCTCTCACTCGACTGGTAGTGTTCGAGTGAAGAGCCTTCACAAGGTTTATGTACTTCTCAGGTACACCTTTTAATGACAGACACTGCCACAGAACCTCTCGGTCTACAGAGTCAAATGCTGCTTTTAAGTCAAGAAAAACTATCATTGCCGGACGCCGATAAGCATGTCTGTGCTCTAAAACTTGACGAATGGTGAATATGTGGTCGATACAACCACGACCAGGTCTGAAGCCAGCCTGATTTTCTCGTGTTTGCAGTTCACGAGTCTTAGTTAGGCGCCCGATAATTATTAAGGCTAGTATTTTATCCGTGTCGAGTGCGAGGCAGTTACCCACGGAACACACATTTTTTAAACACATATAAATTAGTACGAGGGGACACCAAGTATATATGCGCCACACTTCATCATTCCATTTGTTCACCGAATACAATGGGAGATGATTGTGCAATGTCGTTGGTTGAATGAGGTTAGACACGAACACTGTTAAATGATGGCTCAGTGGTCTAAACGATAAGCGTTCGTGTGCGAGGTCGTAGAAGCGCACTGCTGGTGATTTTCATAATAAGACGAGACGGCCATTCAGTGCTTTTAGGTATTCAATGATGGTCCAAACTACAATCATGATTTCAGTCAAATAGAATTGCTTAGCAGTAGCTTAGTAGGATAAGGTGGCCCACAAGAAGATTATCACTTCAATAATCTCTGCGTATAAAATTTTCTTATTGCGTAATTATTTCAAGGTTAATTGTCTAATAGTGCAACGTGAATTATCTAATTAGGTTCAATATCATCAATCACCTGAGAAAAGCAACAATCAAAAAACTGTTACTCAACATCGATTGTTCCAAATTCATTGTAAATTAAACAACTTACAACTTCATCAACAATAACTGGTGCATCGGCAGCTTCAAGTTGTGCAATGATGTGCTTGTTCACTGCGAAAAAAACAAGTGAGATATTGTGATCTATCAAAAAATGTTACTGTTAGATGTTCATTAGAAAAGTTTAGATGTATGTAGATGATGGAAGAATAAATTGAAATGTATTTATATAGAATACATGAGATCTGATTAGCAGTGGAATTCAAGACTCAAGTTTCATCCTATTTAAGACTCGTCAGTCGGATGCTCCTGCATCCTAGAGTTGATGACCTAATGCTAACCACATTCCATCTATTCTACTGTAAACATATGTTATCATGAGCAGAGATAGATGGTGGCTAGCAGTGGAACCCAGGGCGCACGTTTCGTCCTATCCAGGACTCGCCAGCTGGATGTACCTGTATCACAGAGCTGATTCCCACTCCAAAACGCGAACCCAGTACCGTACGCTTCAAACGCCATCGCGTTATCCACTTAACTTCTCCGTCGAAGCGAGCGTCTTGAATTCCACTACTGATCACTGGCCATTTCTGCTTATAATGACTTAATGACAATATCGAGGTAATCCTCACAGGATGAACATATGCCAATAAAAGACTGATCAACTGCTGTCTTAAACATCGATAGGAAGATCCAAACAACCAATTCAAAAATGGATATGTTATCATGGTTACCATTATTGAAACAATCCACACAGAATGAGCATACAACCTAATTATGATTGATCAAATATCAACAACGGGATAATTCAAATGATTACAAATTGGATTGGAATTTAATTATCTTTTTTCTACTCTGAGATGATAGGGAGAAGTGAATTTAAACGTTTACAAAAATATAAACAATAACTGCTGTAGTATATATTATCAATATTTACAAACCTAAGTAAACTGTATACAGAAAATTATTTCTAGGAGTGAAAAGAATATTTAACAGAGGATGAAATAATGATAAAATATATTCAAACACAAATGAATTCTTTCTAACTGTGGATACATCCGTTGTTTCTAATATCAACAATTCACTCAGTCAGTCAGTCACAACGTAGAACTTCGTACCTACGTACATCAGTTAGAGTTGCCATACCACATCAGCACAGAGATGAAGTTGTCGATTCAAATTCCATAGTGGTAGAAGTAGTAAGAGTATAAGTATTAATCGGAAAGATTAGGGTTTGAAGATGTTATTCATGGAGTATACTCCAATGAAATAAATTTGGAATGAGAAAAAGGATAGGAACATGAAGAATTCAGAAGATTAGAATTTGGGAGAACACGAAGAGTGGATGAACCTTCGCCATTGCAAACGATTTTGAGCCATGTCATTCAAGATCTCTAACCATCGATTGCTATCATCTCGCGCATCCCAACAAGGTAGTCTACACCTACCATCATGGCTCAGTCCACTTGTCGATGACTTCATGGATTTGTGCCACGTTTTGCTGTGGCCACCCCTAGCTTTCTTCCAACCTACTCCTACATCATAAAACATTGCATGTTAGGGCAGTAGGTGGTTGGGCATATGTAACACGTGTCCCAGCCATCTCAACTGATGAAGTTTCGATTTGCCATTCTTACCTAGTACCCGTTTACTAACAACTGCATTACTTACCCGGTGGTCCCAGGATATATGTCAACAATTCCTATTGTGTATATCAAATATATATATATATATATATATATATATATATATATGTCTTCATCAGACTTTGCCATAATACACAGTAATATCTCTATGCATATATGAGAAATATTAATTCAGTCAAAACGATTTGTAAGTCAATGATAATATTGATCAATCTGCGAACGTTGCATTTTAGGCATGATTCTGAAAACAGTTTGTTAATCCGAAAATTTCCATGCGAGTTATCGTTTTTCATCGTTACAAGATTTAATATGAAACAACTTTTACACATTAGGTTGCAAATATTGTTCACTGAAGAGATGGAACTATAAAACTGTGGTTCGAATGGTAACGTGGACAGGTCTGAGTCTCCTCAATACACAACTGAAAGCTTACTGCTGCGACTAAATTGTTGAAATTGGAGTGTCCCAACCAACATAACACTTCCACTAACAACTTATATATACACACAGAAAGAGAAAAAGGGAGATAGACAGTCAGACTCAGAAGTTTTATTCAAGTAGTGATCAGTATATGTAGTGCCTGGATGTAATTTAGGTGGTTGGTGGTGGTAGGCAGAAAACCCTCTTCAACCTCAGTTTATGGCAAGCTGGAACTCGTCAGTAAGGCGTATCTGAGTAAACTGACGCTCTGTATGATCTAGAACCCGAGTCAATGAGCTCTACAGTCCTTAGACTATTTAGACTGTGACTACCTGTGGGAAAGAAATATTTAAAAACCAATTTATCACTGAGTAGTAGTGACTAATGTCATATTTGTCTAGTCCTTTAATGCTGATCAAATTCTATGAATCAAGTCCTATTTTGGTTAATACCGCTAAAGGACTAGACAAAAGTCACTTTGATCACTAATGTATAACTAAACTAATTGCAAACCTTATTTAGATTATTCCAATTTTTTCTAGAGATAAACGATTTCCGGGTACTTACGATCTACCGGTTTACCAGCAGGCAATTCACCATCTTTTAATTCTTCTGACTGTGGTTTGTAATTTCGAAATATCGGTTTGGGTAATTCTCCATTATCACCATTGTTTAAGTGTATAATACTTTTATGTGATGCATTTTTCATACGTAATTGCTTTAAACGTTCTTTACGCCTTAAGGCTTCATCACGCATATGTCCTATGGACTGATCTGTTTCATTATCAACATGATTATCGCTAGTTTTGTTTTCCTTATTTTCTGGCAAAACTAATTCATCACTTCCATGTTCTGGTTCTTGATCAATATTGTCAAGTGTAGTCATTGAGTCTGAAATGTTAACACAGCAAAAGTTTGGTTAAAAATGCTACCAATCAAATTCAAAAACGATACATCAGTAGAAAGAAAGCGATAATTTTAATAAAATAACAGAATGCTTGAAATGATTAACAGCAAGTTTGGGTCCCCTTAATGAAGGATACTTTAACAGCGATTGGAATCCTAGAAAGTTTGTCGGAATTTCAATTATGCAAAAAACAACGACTTATAATTATCAGGTTATGGTAAAAATACTGAAGAAGCTCACTTATCGGCTAGTTTGTATGATGACTATAAACGTCTTGGTTTATAAGCAGTTAAAATATCTTTACTGTATGACTGTCATGTATAATATCTGGTATATATTTTTCCGGCAGTCGCTGAAAAACTGAAGTGAACTTAGTTTTTTCTTGTGGTAAAAATACTAACTAAATATTAGCCAGCGCTATAGCAGCTGCCATGATGTGGTAGTTGGACTTGGATATTGTGATGACCCAATTAATCTATAATGGTTGAAATATTAGTTCTCTTAGGTTCTACCATTTTAAGCGATTTGGTTAAGGAATGACCAGATTAAAAACAGTAACTTGAGGTCTGAAGGAGGAGTCATACTGCTAGCTATAATAGAGTGTATTTACAGAAGATAAAAGCAAAAAATCCATCCTTTGAAATGTTACGAGCCAAATTAACTCATGAAACCAACATGATCATTCAAACCCGTGTTCATTAAGATTTTCGAACTAGACAGAATATAACAGAATTAATGAACTATCATCATTATCATCATGCCAAGAAAAAAACTATCGGTTTACAATAATTAAAACAAAACTAGGGATTTTAATCAATTTTACTTTTTAATTTGGTCAATTTTACTGGGGTTGTTTTTACAAATGGTGTGCGAATGGAATAAAATTTCGACCGGAAATGAAAAGTTCAATTGGAATATTTGGAACAAGAAAAGTAGAAAATAAATAAATACACACACACACAAAGTAGACGAAATGATTAATATACACTGAAAAGAAAACAGAATTCCTCCCTGTCGTGACGTCATTCTCATTCTCAAATAATGCTAATAATAAAGCTTATTTGGCTTAGAATAACAGAAACAAAAATTAATTAAGGCCAGTAAAGCTATTTGATTATTCTTATCTTTTGAAACTCTATTATTACAAGCTGAACAACAAAAAGGAAAGGAAACTAAGAACTCCGTAAAGGATAACATAAGGAAGAAGAAGGAAAGCACGACAAAACAAATAGAAGATACTGAGGAGAAAAGTACATAATTTTCAAGCATTATCATTAACAACAATGATGACACCATTTACACAAACTACTTGTAGTGATTTTGAAGTAGTATGTCATAAACAAATAATAATAATATTTTTGAGGTTTTTTTATCCATTATCGAAAATAGGATGATTAGAAAACAATTAACGAAAGACATCACATCAAATAGAGACAAAATAAAACATAACACCCAAAAAAATTAGCATACTAAGAGAAATGAAGGGATTTCACCGGGATATATATATATATAAGAATTTCTCAGTGAGCTGGAAAAAACACAGGATTGAAAACTGAAGGAAAATAAACTGACGTATAATTTCTTTAGTGTTTTTGAAAGACCAGTGTTGGTTATCAATCAATTCAGTGTAAATCATTATAGTTGCGTTACTATCGAATTATTTTCATATTGACGACGATACTACCACAAGATCGTCTAATAGAATATTTAAGCGACGCCATTATTAATACTACAACCAGTAGTAGTAGTAGTAGTAGGATACAATAGATTTGAGGCTAAATATTTACATGTTTCATAGTGTCCGATGGAAGAGAGTGAAGAATAAGAGGGGGAAAGAAAGCAATTTTATACATTTTTTCTAGATAGAAAAGACTTCATTTCATCGGTTCTTTAAAATGTAACAAGAAAATTTATTTTAATTTACAAATAAATTAAGAAAAACCACGAAGAATACACCAAAAGGGACAATACAGAAAAACATGTATACATAAAGTGCATTGAAATAATTACCCGCTATTATTTATAATTTAAAGCCGAAAAAAAGGTGTTCATTGAACATATACACACATATATAGTACAGAAAAGGATTCAACAAGAAAGAAGAAAAGACAGAAAACAAACGCTTGTTTATACATACTTTAAAAAAATATCTAACTATAAGTACAATACAAATAATAAGAAGGCTGATGATCATCATTTCATATTAGAAGCGGAAGATAATAACTTTTGATATTCTGTTGATTGTTCTTCGTTAACTATTGTTTGACTCTGTTGATTTGGTTTTAAATATTCTGTACTATCATATTTATACTGTATTTGATTTTCTGTTTCATTTAATATATCATTAAAACATAATGTTTGATTTTTTCTTTTACATTGTGATACTTCACTATTGATCAAATTAGATCTATGATCTGTAACTGTAGAAAGATTAATATTCATAGAATAGGGTAGACAAATTGTCGGTGGACATCCAGTACTACCACGACTTAGTATGGTATTAATCTTATCAATATTACTATTATTATCGGTAGTAGTAGTAGTACTTAGAACATCCGAGCAATTGTATACACCGATATCCTCCGTCCTAGGATAATTCCCTAAAGATGTAGTAGTATATCCACCATTGGATAAATCCTTAGAAGCGTCCAACAATGTGGTGGTCGTAGTGACCGTAGTAGTAGTAGTAGTAGTAGTAGTACTGGTAGTATTATATGGAGAATAGTAACAGTAGTAGTATGGTGGTGGTGGCTTACAATCTGTTTTCTGACTGTTAGTAAGATAGTTACTCATTATTGTGTTGTTATTATTATTATTATCCTTCTCATTAATGCCATCATCATCATTATTGTTACTGATATTATTATAACTATCATTGTATTGTTGATTAACAACAGATAGACGGAGTAATGTAGTCAAACGTTTGGTTACACAACCAGCTGAAAGACGTGCTTCTGCATCTTGGTCCCAGCATTCTTCAACTGTTTCCCACAATGTACATAAACCCTAAAAGAATGTAACAAAAAGGAGTAAATAGAAAAACTGAGAGCTTTGTACTCTTTTAGTTTTTTTTAAAAAAAGACTATGGTGTTAAATAAGTGAATGAAATAACGACACTGAATTTTAGTCTACATGTGGATGCGACTTCGATGTGATTGGTTGATTTTAATTTATTAATTTGTTAACCTTGTCAAGGTATATTGACTGGAGACTTTTTGACGTCTTCCTGAACAAAGAAATAAGGTTAGGATGTGATAAAACTAAAGATTTGTTGTGGTGATTCAGAAAACCACTGGCAAAAGACAGGAAAGGCTCAGGAAACACTAAGAAACATTTTATCCAATCAGCGTTCACTAGAAGTTTTACCAAAAATATCACGAAAGTGAAAAGTCACATGCAGATTGGCTAATTACTATATTGTTATTATGTTTAGTAGCATTCCAGAATTTTCAAGAGAACCCAAAGACCTCTAAATTACATTAAAAACTCTATATTTTCTGTACATGAATGAACCTTTGGAGTAAATTGCTTTTCGCATATTTTGCGCCTTTTCTTTCGTGTTCAAGTTGCTGTGTAGATTTAGCTTGGGGGTTACGAGGATAATTTAGGAACCCAATATAGCGTTCAATTAACAAGACTTATCAAAATCATGTAGTGTTAACCAATGTGAAATGTACCGTTGTTTGCATAAACGTGTTTCAGCACTTTTCATGATCATTCAGTCTTACTCTTGGTTGAAAGTTAAAGCAGAAAACTTCTAACTTAAGGAGTTCCATTGCCAACAATGAAATCGGTGCGGTTAATGGATCTAACTTTAAAGATTGAAATCAATATGATGAATGTTATTAAAAGTTTCATTTCAAGCAATTGGAGTTATTTTGAACTGTCTGATATGAATGCTGAAAATTGTGTAGTGAAGAGAATATTCCGGAATGACGAGAAACAAATATAGTGGAAAATCGTAGTTTGAAAAAGAATTTCGAATATGCTAAACTCATCTGCTAAAAATAAACGGAAACGATGACCGGAGATTCTAGATACAGTAAACTAATTGGACATAGAAAAAATTATAGACAATCTTAGTCATTTTTATGTATTCTTATCAGGACCATTGAATGATTCTTATGTTTAAAGAAACAAAAAAATATTTCTGGTAGATATTTTGATTAGCATTATATAAATATGATCTCCAACTAAATATGGGTTGGTAATATACATTGCCCTGGTACGGACGAGAGTGAGGAGAGTCCACTCTCCCCTTCGAAATGCTCTTACATGATCACGCGTATATAGCCTCTGCCAGAGAAGTCCTACTCACTGCCTTCTCGTGGTTGGGGTGTTGTTTACGGAATCGAGAAGACGAAAAGAGAATGTTCGGGGCTTTAACCAGGTTGGTGGACACGACGAGTCTACCTAGGGAAGTCGGAAAACCCTCATTCCAAACCAATGGTGCACATGGGCTCCAGTACTCTGAGGGAACAAATGGTGTATGAATCAATTGTTGGTCACTGGCTAACATGGGACTGCATCTCCTTACGATGCTCCACTGCCTTGTGGATCAGATCTTTGGGTCAAATGCTTCGAGTGTGACTCCCTAAGAAAACCACCTGCTTCAGTTTGGGCACGTGGGCATATCACAGCCCTCACACAAATCGAATGAGATTTTTGCGGCGCATATGTATCTGATGCTTCCTTGTACCAATATTCATGTGTTTAATTAAATAAATAAAATAGATCTGAGTTACACTTAATGATTCTCTGTCTATCTCATCTGAAGTAGACGAAGTGGGATTTAAACCTAAAATATACCTGTTGAAATCTGAATGCTTCACTGTTTCACCTTAACAAGCACATACGTAGAATGTAAATTAATATCTAAGAAAGTATTAATCCCTATGGAGCATCAGTTAACTGGTGGATTGCAGGTGAACTAACGCAATAAATACTGACTTAATTTACGCTTTTGACTTACTACAGTAATAAAA